TATGAGACCTGTTGGCTTTATCTTTTGTTATTTATCTTGCTGATGTTAGGAAGTATTCTCTAATCCCCCAGACCTCTGTTCCTAGGTAACAGTCAAAAGCTGTGCCAGCAGAAGTGGTCCTGCCAGGCCAAACCCATGTGGTTTGGTGTTATTCACTATGATCCATATGGTCAGGGTAGAGATTGTCCCTAGAGAGGTGTTAACACTCAACAACCCAACCTCCTCCTACTCTTTGGAGAATTGCTGGATGGCTCCTGCTGCCTGCCCATGTGTGAATCTTGATTAATTTTTCATTTTTAATGAAGTTTGATCATGTTTATTATTTCACATGATTGACTGCCTGGTACTCCTTCCATGTAATTGATAAAGCCCATATTTCTTCATCTGTCTCTTATTTCTTCAGGGCAAAGTTGTGAAATTGTGTGATGTGGTTAATATTAGATTTATTGGTCCCAATAGATGTATAAATTATCTCTTTTTCTCTCCACAGGAAGTTCTACAGACTTTGACCAAGTTTTGTTTCCCCTTCTATGTGGACAGGTAGTGTTAGCTTTTCAAACTTTACAAGAAAATAAGCTTGTCAATAAAACCACTGTAGAAAATAAAAACCATACCATTCTTAATGTTCTGTCTGCTTGACTGTGATTTAAAGCACCCAAGTGCAAATTATAGTCTTAGAATCACTTTTTCCTGGGGTTTTTATGGGCACCATCAAAAAAAAAAAGTTTTAAAAGTTTGAGCTGTTCAGTGGCAGCAGTAAGAGTGCATTTTGGTTTACTTCTACATAATACTTGGACGGGAAAATGCTTGGGTAGTTATTGTCAAATATGCATATTAATATCAAAGCTTTGTGTGGATATGTATTTTATTTCTTAATTGTCAAAATTTGGGCAGAATAATGAATTAAGTGCTTTACATTTAAAGGCCTCTTGATCTTGTTGGAACGCTGGTGCTTTGCTTGGCTTAATGTGGCTTCTAAATTAAAAAAAAAAATTGTAAAGTAAGTTACAGTGGATTTCACAGGAGCTGAGAATATTTAATTCTTGTAATTTAGAAAACTCGAGAACTTTTTTTAGTTTTTTAGTTTTGCTTTTAGCGTGAGTTATTTTTGATGGTTTCGTGAAGAGAACAAGCATTGAAATTTTGAAAGGATGCACCACTGCTCATACCATCTCCGAGCATCGCTTAATTGCTTAGCGTCGTTGTCTCAGCTCAGCTCGCACACCGAATGGTTTTGATTGATGAAATTGACCTTAACTGTGATTAAACTGCTAGAAATCTTTTTCTCATTTCAGTGAAATCTGTGATATTTACAGTAGGAATTGATTTTCTTTATAAATCAACATCCATTTCTAATATCACTTCTTGTTTGAGCTGTTGTTCAATTTTTTTTTTCCCCCACCCGTAGGTCAGCTGGTATTTCTTAGTTATCTTGAAATACTGTTCAGTAGCTTGTATGAATGGAGATGAAATCTTACTGTGCTTCTCTGGAGATCGGAGTCTACATAATAAAACCACTGCTACCCTTTGTCCTCCGATGTGGTAATCTGGGGTTGGAGGAAGCTGAAAGCTTGACTGGATCATGCAGATGATCTGTTCTTTCAACCCTCCAGGTGGTTCCTGCAGATCAGGGTTGAGAGAGGCTGGTGAAGCGCTGCTGGAGACAGCTATTATTACCAGTGCCTCTGCTGTACCTGATTTGTACATAAAAAGAGAATTTGAATATCCTGGGCTGTCAACATGAGCTACTTAACCAGTGCTTGTTGACTCAGATGACCTTTAAAAGCCAGAAATACTTCTTATAATTTGGAATCACTTTTTGTTGGTCATCCTTTTCCTCTCCTAAGGGGAGGGAGTGGGGAAGTACTTATATATATTTTTCTCATGTATGTGTTTCTACTATAAATGTTTATGCTTACTATGTGTAGGTTTATTGTAGCTAGGGGTTTTGTTTGTTCTGTTGTTTATTGTTTTTCCCCAGCAATATAACATTTTGAAAGATAAGAACACTGAAAACCCATATGGGGTGCAAATGAGAACATAATGAAAAGTGATTCCGATTTCTGGATTCCCTTGTTTGACTGAATATCACAGACTATCACTGAAAAGACTGTAAGCCAACCATTTTGAACATAAAGGAGAGATTATAACCCATAGCATACTTAATAATTTAAAATGAAGGATGGACTTCTAATACTCCAGAAGGTAGAGGATGTCCCAAGTTAAGGATATGGGAGCTGAAAGAGATGTGTGTGCTACTTCTCTTCTTGATGTAAAAATACACACACGCACACGTACATGCATAGGTGTGTGTGTAAGTATATAAAGAAATAAATACTTCTTGTAGTCCTCTCTGATGTAAATTTGACTTAGCTTTGAACTGTGTGTGGGAATTAACCTGCCAGTTACAGCAAGAAGGTAAACAGTCTTATATCACTGAATGCAAATTAATTTAATGTGACCATGATAAAGAGAAAAATGCAGTGCATCTTACATGCAAAATGTTCTTCATCTTTTAGCTACTTCCAAGTTTAGAACCGATCGAGTACCTGTTCTTAGAGGCTATTTCTGGAACTCGGCAAGTGACAAATTTGCACTAGTTGGTCTTTTCTTT